CATGACGAAAAGCCAAGGTACATACGTAACTAGGGTCTGATAAGTTTGAGATCAAACTTTTATAACTTTGACCATCAATAACTTTAAAAATATTTAGTTTAAAAAAACTAGAACAACATATATAAATTTGTCTTTCAAAACACTATAATAAAAGTAAACATGCATTTATTTATTGTATGTATTATAATAGAAAAATAAGGTCAAAGATATATATTGTAGACAGTGTCATTATGCAAAACGTCAATTAAAATGAAACTAGAGGGAGTACATGCTGGTAGAATTAATTGACCTAGAATTTTGTCTTTCTTTTTTAATTGAACAAATTTAAATTTACTTATCAAATTCGTCTCTTAAAATCATAGCCGGCATGCATGCACTTGGACATTAATTCCTAATAAATACGTATAACTCTATGATTAAACGATGGCGGCTATGTTTGGTTGATCTTGAACCGGAGATGCAAAAATGAATATGCATGGTAGGTGTTTGATTGCTGAAGACTTTATGTTTGCATAATAGTCACAATTAAGCCCTTGATTTGTTAATCACTTGACCAGGCCATTCGTTGCTTAAGTGGACTGGTTTACATACTTTATTACTAGTCAAGTTATAAGATTAGTATTTTTGTTTCGTTTTGATCGATCGGTGGGTTGACATTGACAAGATCAAGTAATATTATATCAGTTTTGTGTAGGACCAAATGACCAAATCCATATGAACAGTCCTTTAGACCAGTGTGAAACCCCACAAATTCTATAAAAAGATTATGTGAAGTTGACAAAGGCTAGCTTCTACCGACCAACATCATGATTAATTAAGGACTTAATTAAGGAGACAAGTTCTTAATTACCAAAAGTTTGTCGTAATTGGCTCGGTGATCAAAAGCTGTAATAATGCTAGCTTACGGTGAATCTGTGATACATATCCATCGAATCACGCCAATCTCTCTGCTGGTTTACACTCAATTGAAAATGACATTGCTTTCGGTGTTAATTATTAACTTTGCAATGCAAAACCAGGGAAAATTTTCTTATGTCTAAACTTTCTGCGAGGAACATATATATTAGAGGATTGAATAATTGATATAATTAAATGTTGTTTAGATATTCGTTAGAACATGTTTACTTTCGGTGATGATTCTCGTTAGAATTGAAACATTGTTGTTTAGCGAGAATATGCTGTAAATAATAATTCCAATATATAGAAACAATAAAAAATTTAAAACGTCTGTGGAGATTATATATATCAGTATTACTCTATCTGTTTCATATTTTAAGACGTTTTAACTTTTTTTTCATAGTCAAACTTTCATAACTAATTTAACCAAGTTTGAAAACACGTATAGTAGCAACATAGTTAACAAATATAGTACCAAAATATATTCAATGTAAGATTTAATAAAACTAATTTGGTGTTGTACATATTGCTATGTTTTTCTATAAATATGGTTAAACATGAAAATAGTAACTTAGAAAAAAAAATATCAGAACGTCTTACTGTATGAAACAGGGAGTAGCAATAATTTGAGTAATTAAAGCTCTCCTCTTGTACTTTGATCTAGCTAGAAAAGTAAAACCAAGCAAGATCATGCATATATGTCGTCTCAGATTAGCTGGAAAGGCAAATGTTGCCATGGACGTGTAAGCAAAAAATTCTTGGAGACAAGGACTGATGAAAAATAATAGTACTATGTGACGAAATCATGTAAGAACAGGGATACTTGCAATCCAAGTTGTTCTACACTTACCTCGGCACGATCGGTCGTTTGAAAAGTATAGGTGAATGGCACAATTTGACCACAGAATGAATCTCTGTCTCCTGTCAATAGCTCAAGTTAACATCGCATAATAAAGTAATTAGCTGTCACCAAGTAAATGTTCCTTTTTGTTCAGTAATTTAGTACTCTCTCCGTTTCAAAATGTTTGACACCGTTGACTTTTTAGTACGGGTTTGACCATTCGTCTTATTCAAAAAATTTAAGTAATTATTTATTCTTTTTATATCATTTGATTCGTTGTTAAATATACTTTCATGTGCACATATAGTTTTACATATTTCACAAATTTTTTTAAATAAGACGAACGGTCAAATATGTGCTAAAAAATCAACGGTGTCAAATATTTTGAAACGGAGGGAGTAGTCCAGAAGGAACAACTACTGCTGTTTACCGAATCTACGATTCTAACGTAAGATCAGTAAAGTTGCTGTTCAAGATTCAACATGAACAATTGTAACTTATTCGATCTCTCTTCTCACGAAAAATAGAATTTTGTGACACTTGAAGAGGTATAGAAGGCAGGGGACAGAACCAAAAATAATCATAAGCCTATGACTCAACTAATATGCTATTGGTTTTATCTAAAAATTACATGGTGGTTTAAGCATGGTTGTATAGACAAGCCTAGGACAACTTAAGGAGGTATCAAAAGGTGTCAAACATACTAAAATTTTATATATGGGTATATCAAAATTTATATGATAAATTATATGGTGCTTTTCAGTACTTAAAAACCGTACAATCACTTATATTTGTATGTTATTTGAGATTAGGTTCAACGCTAAGAAATTTGAACATCAGTATCTTTAAATACACATATTAAAACAAAAGCATGCGTAATTTTGCTTTAAATATTTTGTAATGGTAATGAGCGGTGATATTTTTAATTGGCAACGTGACAAACGTCAATGTGCAAAGCCATATATTTATCAGATATGGATTATAAAACCTATTTTATCTGTTTAGCAACAGAAAATCGGGCAGATGATCATATCCAAAAATTTAATGCATATGCACTAATCATATCCTAGCAGCCTCAGAAGTTATTGTTGAGGCCTTGTTTAGGTGGGAAAAATTTTTGAGTTTAGTTGTCACATCGGATATACGGACATACATTTGAAGTATTTAATGCCCCATGCCTTGTTTAGATCTAAAAAATTTTTGGCCAAAAACGTCACATCAAATGTTTGAACACATGTATGGGGTATTAAATATAGAAAAAAAACCAATTGTACAGTTTGCATGTAAAAGTTGCGAAACGAATCTTGTGAGCCTAATTACGCCATTATTTGACAATGTAATGCTACAGTAAACATTTGTTAATGATGGATTAATTAGGCTTAATAAATTCGTCTCGCAGTTTACAGGCGGAATCTGTAATTTGTTTTGTTATTAGTCTATATTTAATACTTCAAAGTGTGCATCCGTATACTTCAAAAATTTTACACGCAAAGAACTAAACACACCCCTAATTTAACATGAATAATTAAGACCAAATTTCAAAGTGTGAACCATCCAATCAAATCAATTAATGTAGCTGAGCTCTACGGTGGTTTGTAGTTGGAAAACTGAGTCCCAACAAAATGACCAACAATCCACGGTTAAAATCTGAAATTAATATACTAGCTCCTATGGCCGAGTGTAACCAAATATTTAGAAAAACAGCCGTATATATGTTTCAAATAATACCTTGCGACCTGGGTGGGAACCATCTCTTTTCGTTGGATAATTTGCAATTTTGCAGAAAACACCTTTCATTTGATGGTGAAGTCGTAGATAGGGTTGAAAAAAATTGCTAGTGTTCGGAATTACGTATGCACGAAACTACACTTTCACTATAAATTTAATTTTTTGAACGACTCACTATAAATTTAATGTCACAAAGTCACCTCTTGTCTTTGTCTTTGTCTTTAAGCTTATACTCCTTCCTTTCCAAATTAATCATCATACAGTGAAATTCAAAATTTCTCAAATTAATTATCATATAACTGTATGGATACGGATTTATCATAATATAATTAATGCAGCATGGAAGAATGTGTGCATACTAAGGTGTAATTGGCATGGTGTTTTAATCGATATATGCATTGTGGGAGAATCTGTGCATGGTGTTTAGATTTATGTGATTAAAATTTTTCTTAGTCTATAAACATATATGATAATAAATTTGAGAAGGAGGAAGTATTAAAGGTACTAGTTCAATGCCCATGACTTGATATGGAAGTAGAAAAGCAAACAATAACGTTTAATCTCGATCTAAAACAATAACACTGTGATAATTTTTATATCCGTCTAGGGAACCAAATTTTCATGTGTATATATGTATACGATCATAAGTAAAAAAAAACAAACACATTTTTCAATAAATAGTAAGTCGATAACCATGAAAAATAAAGCAAAGAAACAAAAATATCAATATTTTCCTTAATAAGTATTTCTCTCGTCCCAAAACAAACAAATTTAGTACTGGATGTGATACATTATAGTACTATAAAATTTGGATAGACCAATATATATTTGTCACATCCAGTACTAGATTTATTTATTTTGAAATGAAGAGCGAGTACTATCTCAGGAAATGGACAAAGTTCACATGCTTACTATTCATTCTCCTACGTATATATAACCATGGTGGTGGTTGGTGGTAGACTCACCGCCACTACCAATAGAGCCTTTTTACCATACTATAATATATATACATATAATAAATATTATAAATGTAAATCTAATTGTTATAGAGCCTTTATTTTCACACAAGCTGCGAGTTGTGAATAGCAATGTGTGCGTGTGCATTCGTGTGTGCGTCTTGTATGAACCCTAACTCTTTTTCTCTTCTTTTTGCAAAATTGAATACTCCCTCTGTTAAAAAAAAAGATAAACCCTTGGTTTCCGTGTCATGTTTGACCATTCGTCTTATTTGAAAAAATTAAAAAGATAAGTCACGTATAAAGTATTAATCATGTTTTATCATCTAATAATAATGAAAATACTAATTATAAAAAAATTTAATATAAGACGAATAGTCAAACATTGGACATAGAAACCAGGGTTTGTTTTTTTTTATAGGAGGGAGTACTTTTTCATAGTACTTGAGTCCATGACATCACCCTAGTCAACTCAACTGCCATGAAGCCCAACCGAAACTTCCCCGCGTACGATGACGCCAATACACATACATATCATACGCTCTTCCCGCCGCCTATAAAAACCCAACCCTCGCCTCCTCCTCCTCATCTTAACAACCCCAATTCCCTTCTCCCATCGGTTGCATGCCGCCGCCCACCGCCGCTGCCTTGCATGTCCGCCGCCGCCGCCGCGCCGCCGGCAACCTCACTGCTCCGCCCAGCCGCGGCGTCGCTGACCACTGCCAGCAACAGCAGCAACAGGGTCCATCTCAAGAACCTCGAGCATCTCTTCCGTAACCGCGGCGCCGCCGTCGCCGTCGAGAGCGCGACACCGGCGCAGCAGCAGCAGCCGGTGCTGAAGGCGCCGCTGCTGCGGCTGCCGTCGTTTCTTGCGCGGGGGAGAGGGGAGGTGGCGATGAAGGAGGAGGCGCACGGCGTGTCGCCGCGGCGGCTCGAGCGGGTGCTCCTCCCGGCGGCGCCCGACGGGCCGTCGCCGCGCGGGAACATCGCGGCGACGTGGAGGCGGCTCCACGGCGAGCACGACTGGAGGGGGCTGCTCGACCCGCTCCACCCGGACCTCCGCCGCGAGATCGTCCGCTACGGCGAGTTCGTCGGCGCCGCGTACGGCGCGTTCCTGTCCCGCCCCGACGCCGCGCCGGGGGACCGCGCCCGCGCCGCCCCGCCGCTCCAGGACGGCGGCGCGTACCGCGTCACGGCGCCGCTCTTCGCGACCTCCTCCGTCGGCCTCCCCGCCTGGCTCGCCTCCGCCGCGCCGTGCGCCGCCCAGCGCACCAGCCTCGTCGGCTACGTCGCCGTCTGCGACAGCCCCGCCGAGGTCCGCCGCATGGGCCGCCGCGACATCGTCATCGCGCTCCGCGGCACCTGCACCGTGCTCGAGTGGGCCGAGAACGTCCGCGCCGGCCTCGTCCCGGCCACCGACGCCGCATCCGCCGCCGACTCGCCGGACGCGCCCACCCCGAAGGTGGAATGCGGGTTCTGGAACCTCTACAAGACGGCCGCCGCCGGCGGCTCGCCGAGCTTGTCGGAGATGGTCGTCTCCGAGGTACGGAGGCTACTGACAAAGTACGAGGGGGAGGAGGTGAGCATCACGGTGACCGGGCACAGCCTGGGCGCGGCGCTGGCGGTGCTGATCGCCGACGAGCTCGCCGGCCTCGGCGCGCCGGCGCCCGTGGCCGTGTTCTCCTTCGGTGGCCCACGCGTGGGCGACCGCGCGTTCGCGTCGCGCGTCGAGGCGCGCGGCGCGCGCGTGCTCCGGGTGGTGAACGCGCACGACGTCGTGCCGCGGTTCCCGCCGCCGTCGCGCTACGCCGACGTGGGGCGGGAGCTCCGGCTGGACAGCCGCGCGTCGCCGTACCTCCGGCCGGACGCCGACGCGGCGTGCTGCCACGACCTGGAGGCGTACATCCACCTCGTCGACGGCTTCCTCGGCTCGCATTGCCCGTTCCGGGACAACGCCAAGCGGAGCATCCTCCGCCTCCTCGAGAACCAGGGCGGCAACGTCAAGCAGCTCTACATCAGCAAGGCCATGGACATGCGCGTCCGCCTCGACGCCGCCGTCGCCGACATGCCCGCCGAGGTCTTGGAGTGCGTGCACTGACGGCGACATGCGCGCCATGGAAAAGCTTGTTAATTTGTTTCCTCCTGATGGTCAAGAAATATTTGGAGTTTGACTTTGGAAGATTTTTATTTTGATTTTTTAGTGTAATTTTAATTCACCCCTCTTATACCAAGTAGTACAAAATTGAGAGGATGTGTTTGTCTGTGTAGGTTGGTAGAAATACCTAACGTGAAGAAATTTCTATCGTATATAGACGAATATTAATTATTTATTGATTCATTGGCACAAGAAAAGAAAGCTTGCTATATTGTCTGTTAAATTTTGTCATTTGATTAAAAAGTGATCGATGTGTTTATAAGATCATGGGTAAGTTCATATTACAGTCCTCAACAACCATTTGTCAAACGCACCTTTATAATTATCAAATTGGACATTTTATGATCCTTAACAAAGAAAACCAAACAAATCACCTTTAAGGATGATACTCCCTCCATCCTAAAAACTTTATATTTTACTTTTCTTTTAGAAACATTACATTTAGAGGGAAGCATTTGTCTCACAAATGCCTTATTCAAAGGTATGGGATCCACTAGCTCTCTTTATTATCCTCATTTTTTTTCTCCATTGTTTAGGGACCACTACCTCACCCCCAATTATCAGATGCAAACATCGTTAATTAGAGGTTGGCCATGGTAAAATTAAGTCTAGCCGAGCATATAAGCCAGGGAAAAGCATACATATGAGGTTGTTTGGTTCACTCCCAAAAGTTTACCAAAGGTTGCCACACCTTAGAGCAACTTCAACAGACCCTTTATTTGGCTAGTCGGAGGAGCAATTTAGCTATCCGGATGGCTAAATTGCTCCTCCGGCTGGCCAAATGTAGCCAGCCTCCTCCACTGGCCAAAGGTGGGTCCCACCACCACTCCCATCCCCATCCATCCTCTCTCTCTCTGCCGGCAACGAACCGAGGGCACGCCGGCCACGAGTGCCCCGCCAATGTCGTCGTCTGGGCCACCGTCCGCCGTGGCAGTCATCGTCGTCGCCGTCGCGCCACTGTCACGCACGAGCCGTCGCCACCGCGGGGAGCCGTCACCATCTGCATCGCCACTGCCGCGCGGGGAGCCACCGCCGCCGCCGCCTCGCGCACGCGGGGCGCCGTCGCCGCCGCCTCACCTCCACCGTTGTCGCCGCCGCCTCGCGCCTCGCGCACATGGGGAGTCGCCGCCTCCGCTGGATCAATGGGCCGATGCGGCCATGCGGGAGAAAAGAAAGGGGAAGAGAAAGAGAAAGAGGAGGAAGAAGAAGGGAATGGAGATGGGAGGATGACATGCGGGTCCCTTTGTGATTTTGGAGTTGTAAATAGAGAGACCGTTGGAGTGCACACCTAGTTTGACTACCCAAATCAGTTAGCGAGTTGGCTAAATGGGTATTTAGAGAGTCTAATTTGGAGATGTTGGAGATGCTCTTATCTTAGGTAAATTTGACCAAGTTGTCTCTTCTTTGGTCCATAGCTATACTTGTGGCAAAATTCTTTCTCATCTCTTATGGTTCCACATGCCATTACCTCAAAAAAGTGTGGCATAATTCTCTTCTATTTTGCTAGCTAAGGTGTAACTTACTTTTTGTTTGCCACAAGTGTGACACAAAAGTCTGCTAAATGATGACAACTTTCGTATACCATTCAAACAACCCCTAATCTTAATGGAAAAAGTCAAAGCAACAATTATTATAGGACGAAGGTAGTATTTGGCTTTTTCACATATGTACAACTATCAAAAATAATTATAAGATCTTTTAGTTAGGGATGGGAGGATACTACCCAACCTCAATGATGACTTTATGATCTTGACATCCAATCCAAATATTTTGTTTACTTGTATAACAGCTAGTTAGCAGATCTAAAAACTAGTTAAACACCTAGTTAGTAGATATAAAAACTAGTAGTTAACTGTGAGTAAAAGCACATATATGTAAATGTGTGTTTTATAATATTAACATTAGTAGAGTAAATTTATAATTCATATCAATCGATTCAACAAAAACTTCGTTCAATTAACTCAAGAACTTAACTCGATGAGAATTAACATTAATCCTTGTATGATTCACACTCACACTTCAATACTGTGTCCTAACTAATTTAGTGGACATGAACAGAGTTTCATGGATTCATATCAACCAGAGAAGCTTTTGTCGCTTTCATAACAGTCATTTTGCATCAAAACATAGTGTTCTACAGTGAATCCTACCCATCATGAATACGACTCCACTTTAAATACCTAAAGATGTCATAATAGTTGAGCCGTTATCAATTTCATTCTTGATTAACCTTCGACCAATTCAGAGCCCGAACTACATGTCCTCACATGGAAATGATCTCCGTATAAACGATTAAGTAAAAACTAGAGGTCCTCACGTGAGCACGATCTCTGTCGATGCGGTTAAAGTGAATTACGATAAATATAGGGAACCCTCCCCCAATCGGAGCACAAAGAATGATTCACCAAAGCAGTGAAGTGCGTTGTGAAGAGATGAAAGGTTTCCTCCCAATCGGAGAATGAAGAATGATTCTCCATATACAGGGATTGGTGACTTCTGAGAGGCCAATTGAGGCCAAGATTGCTGCAGAGGTTGACTGCAACATTAGGTTTTGCATTGATTTGATGTTTCAAAAAGATGGCATTGATTTTGGTTTTTACCGGATCAACGTACATCCCTGTAGGAGTGCGTCCGTCGCAGGGAATTTAACCTAATTAAGCGCAGTGTTGTCCACTAAAGACTGAGCTTAATTGCCGGTCAAGCTGGTCACCGACCGGCTGTGAATAGGTTAAACCTGACTACAACATGTACAAATTAAAGTCCTAGTATGATGCAGATCAATTACGCCTATTCTGAACTAGCTTAGAACATGGTGCAAAAGGACTGTGCTTTATCTCTTTCAGCCATCTTTAGGTTTGTAAATTTCACAAAAACAGTTTTATTTTTTTTGGAAAAGTAGGAAAATTAACATTATATTTTTTGCAGAGAAAAAAAAGGATATAGTGTGTTTCAAAGGAGATAAAAAAAATAGATATTGTGCGTCATGGTGTTTTTGAAGAAAAGGCATTAGTCCAGATTTACTGAAGAAAACATGATCATGAAGAGCGCTATGGTGTTTCATGTACAAATAAATGGTGCGCCCACGTTTTTTATTTATGTTTTCAATAAATTAAGTCAATTTTTTTAAAAAAAGTTGACTTAGAAAATGTATTGTAATATTATAAAATGGAGGGAGTTGTTAATTGAATTAATGTCGAGTTAGTAGACATTAGGAACGACAAATATTTATGATCGGAGCGATGAACCCTTACCATATGCCCTGCATCATGGATGGCAAGCTGTCTGTCATCAGCATGGTGACCCAGCAACAAGTGGATCGATTTCAGTACTCCTTTCGTCCACTAATATAAGGGATTTTTATATTTTAGTTACACTATTTTACCACTCATCTTATTTAAAAAATTATACAAATATAAAAAAATTGTGCTTAAAGTACTTTAAATAATAAAGTAAGTCACAAATAAAATAAATAATAATTCTATTTTTTTAATAAGATAAATGATCAAATAGTAAAACAAAATATTAAAAATTCTTATAACGGAGGGAGGGCGTACTATACACCGGTGTCGTCAACGCCGTTGAAACAGAGGCAAGGCTAGTTTTCAGGCAAACAAACTATTCGTACGGTCACCGCTTTTGCAGTTTATTATAGCTTGACTTGACCGACCCAACACATTCACGTACGCGTCAAACATGCTACTACATGCATGTAATGATGCCAAATTGCATGCCATGGCCATTGTCAACTCCCTATCATCTCACCAATTAATAAATTATTACTACTAACTTGCTCAACTAAACTTTTTTTCCAATGTAGACTTTCAGCTCAGTATTAAACTACTCCCTCTGTATAAAATAGATTAATCTAATACGTGATGTGACATCAGTATTCTGTTTTCTCTAAAAAACAATAAAAACGCGTGATGTGACGTCAGTATTCTGTTTTTCTCCCTAAGAGACAATAAAAACACGTAAAGTCGGAGGTGTTAGGAAACCCAAGAAATTAAGGAGGGCTTGATTTCTATTTGGGGTTTGTAAACATTGTGATATGCATGGTAGTTAGGCTGGATTAGTCATGGTCGTTATTGGTTGACATGTAGCCAGCCTCCCCACTCTCTGCTTCTTCTTCAGCTTGCCGACTAGAAGATTTTCGTATTTTTCGTTGAATGGCTGGGATGATTTTGTATTTTGTTTGTATTCGTCTTGTTGACGCGGAAACGTGTTACGGTCAGAGCACACTGACGTCGAGCCTTCCCGTCAGCCTATGATCCCAGCGACTTCTGGCCAAATTCAGAATTTCGTCCATAAAATCCAGTTTTTCAAATATTCGAATTCTCCATCATCGCAAAATATGTTCGGTTTGAAATACGGAATGTTCCGGTTCCAATGTGACACGAAACTTTACCCAAACTGCCAAATTTTGGTGTACAAACAGGTAGTACCAGTTTTTCAAAAAATTCAAATTCTCTCGCAAAATAATTCCCAAACCAAATGTTCGGTTTCAAAACACCGAACGTCCCAATTTAACATATCTGTACTCTGCACCAGCACAGAAGGACAATAGCAGCAGCCTTCTACACTCCGTACTGTTCCACAAAGGCTGCTAGTGCTGAACGCTGGTCATTCTGAACCAATACATTGTTCTGGTGTTTAAACAAGAGGAGCACGCGACTGCACGTTTCTTGCATGCAATGAATGCTAGCTACATTTCACATATAAAGACAGTACATTTCACACAGCAATGGTGTTACGTTTTCAAAGGGTGCCTGACGTATATCTCATGCAATGTTGTTACATTCCACATGAGAAGTTCTCTGGGGGAAATGAACATTGTCAGGTCAACAGTGGCCATTCTCTGAAAGAGTCTTATAAGATTTTTGTTTTTTTCTATGATATTCCTCTTATGTACAGCTCTGGGAGATTTTGGTGTACAACAAAGCAAATCTGGATTCTAATTTTCTGTAAGTAGAGTGGAAAACCATCTGCAGCTCTGCTCCATGTTTCCAAGAGTGAGGAACTATCAGACTTGGAAGTGGTCTATTATGTGCTGTATGACATCCGCGCCTTCGTTCATAAACTGGTACTTGACCTGGAGCAAACAGCAAATTAAGATTTTAAACCTTTTGTTAGAGGAAGAGTTTGCTCCCCATTTGAATGTCCATGAGTGAAGAAGGCGTGTTTTAGCAACAGGAAGCAGGTAGATAATAAACCTGGATTATGCTGTGTGCAGCAAATCTCTGCATGCTGGTATGGAAGCTAACATCTACTTTTTCCCATGATACTCGTCGAAGTCCTGTCACCATTTTTTCTGCATAACAGAACCACCAGAAAACAGAAACATTTTCAGTCGAGAATTTCCATGCACTTTCAGTATATGACATCAAGGACTTTCAAACAAATTAGTTGTGGGTTTCAGACATCAACTCCTTGGATATTTCCCATGCCTCATTACAAGCATGGTAGTGAGGCTGGAGTTTGCCGTATAGTTTGCTAATCTTAACATGCAATTCTTATCTTGTTACCATTTCATGTCATAGAACAGTGATGTCTCATCTATTACTAGGCCATAGCTTTCACGAAATTTATAAGCACATTGAATTAATCTATATGAAAAAATAAGCACAAAACTTCAATCCATTTCATCATAGAAGAATTTATTCCTTAGATTTTCCATATTGGAAGAATGGAATCAATGATTAGAGATGATACTGTGTCTAGTTTTCAGGTCCTAAGTATTAGGAGTACAAACCCACAAGGCCACAACAGCACTGTAGGCATGAAGAGTAGCACGATAAGAAACATAAGACAAAAGATCAAACCAATGCATCACCAGGATTGTAGTCAACTAGTCATCAGTTGATTATTGAATATCCGGAACATGGACCTCCATGTTTTAAACATATCAACAGACTCGATGACTCAAATACTCAATTAGTCAGCAAAGCAGATGAAAAAAAAAATAACGCAATGGAATACAGTGAATACCCTGTCTAAGCTATTGTTACATATATGAATCTTGAAACAAATGGTGTCTCTTCTAAATGTCCTCTATAAATGTATTCATACCCATAGTGCAGCTAGATGGAGATACAGAGAAATGGTGTCCAAACTTGAAAAAAAAAAGAGATTCCATGCACGTATAGGCAATAAAAAAGGATGGGAAATATCCAAATATTACAGGTATTTGAATATCAATATGCATACTACTTTAAAAAAATACCATGCCCCTGAATATCCCTCAGAAATGATCAAAAGTAACTCTAGGTGGTGTAGGGGCATTACATGAATGAGTCAACTCAGAACAGGTACTAAGAAAAATTTCCTTGAGGGAACAAATTCCGACTTTACCGTTCAGAAATAGTACAAAAACAATACAAAAAACTAGCTATCATATTGACCACATTTACCCATCAAAATACAAGCAATATATGTCAAGGTGGTTGTGGTTTGTAGGTGCTAACCAACAGATACCTATACGGCAACATTTTAGTCTATAAGCAATCCTCAAGATGTTTCTTGTGGAATTTACTGTGTACAATGTTCACAGATGAAAAAAGGATTCATCCCCTAATTGTCAAATTATGGTAGGTACTCCTTCAGTCTGAAACTTCAAAGATAGACCAACTGGCCCTGGAATTCTTAGCAATCACCTAGGCCTACCATAAAATGTGAATTTTGAGTATAAAATTGCACAGTTTTGTAATAAATCAGTTGAATATGCTATTGAGCACACCTTCTGGAATATCTCGGTTCAAATGACAGGGATTCGATTCAGCATTACTCAATTACATTGTCCACATAATTTTTCTACCCAAAAAGATTATTAAATAAGAGAAATTTTAAGTTTTGCCATCGACAATCGCATGATTCCAAGTTTTGCCATCAACGAACACCAATTCTAAGAAATTAGATTGTACAAGTGCTTGTCGATGGCAAACATAGAATCTCTCATAAAAATGCTTGGTTGTTAAATCAAAATAGTACATTACAAAAATCTCAGTAACATGGCATTTATTGTTTAGATAGTAAACAGGTGTAGTTGATTTTAGCAGTGTTATGTTGATTTACTCAATTTGTAAAGACTAAACAAACAATATCATCGTTTGCATATAGTTTGGTTGTTTGCTGCACTTTGCCATGTTTATATAGTCATATGCCACAGTTTCTTAGATATGTGTTTGTTTGGCTGCCGCAATTGTATCATGCCACACTTTCTTAGCCTTGGGACCCAAATGTCACACTCTTAAATGTGGAGCTAACCATGCCACATTTGTGGCCGACAATTTCTTAGCCACACTTGCGCAACCATGCCACAACTTGCCTAACCTTAGTTATGTCAAGGTTAGGCATCAACCAAACATCCCGATAATATGGATACAACATCATAAAACAATTCTGCTGCTACTATCTAAACTGACCTTCCAATATGTCTGAATCACAAACTGTTGCCGAATTTTGACATGTTTCATCACCGAGTTCTTCTGAGTATTCCTCATGTACAATGTGGGGGTACTTTTCAGATATCGATTCCTCCCACTGCACATCATGAACAGACAAGATGGACGTTTTATCAGAAGAATGTTGCTCTTGCTACACGTAAATCTTCCTCTTCTTCTTGGGCAATTGCCCAAGAACAATCAGAACCAATAAAAATACCTTAGGCAGCTCAGTCTTTCTTCTGATAGACGATGTTCTCCAGCCAACAATGTCTGAATGCCATGAATTAAAGAATTGACAAGTAGAAGGTCTAAATTAAGATGGAACATTTTTTAACATTACATCAAAAACCAAGATATTTCAAATAACAAGGATACGATCGCAGTCGGCATTTGCATAAGCCACTCGTCGTCTAAATGCATGCAAAGCAGATCTGAAAAAAGTGTTAGCTAAAGCCCAAGTTATGGCAGTTATTACAGAGACAACGTATGCCATAATAAACGAATAATTTAAAGTAGAAATATATAGCAAAGGAAAATAATCGAAAAGAAACAAAGGCATCATAACCTTACATGAAATAAAGATCACCATAATCTTCAGCCATGCGCTGCAATAATGGTGGTTCTCCCTCATCATCATCAGTGAGAAAAAGATGTTTCCCAGTTCTCCTAAATATCCAATGGACCACACGAGAAGCAAAATTTTCCATTGCAATGGACCCAAAGAGAAGGGGAACCTAATTCATAACAGTAAGGACACAGAACAGTTATAGGGGTGGATGCAACGCCAAAATGCTCGTCGAATATGGCATATAGAATGCAGAAGGGAAAAAGGACTTTGAATATCCAGAAAAATCTGAAAACTTTGCTACAAATATAAGCATGCAGCTAAGTAAAATGGCTCAACTGCACAAGTTACAAAAAACGTATCTGAAGTCTTTCGTACATGAGTTCTCAGAACTTGGAGGAGCAACGGACAAGAAGCACAAGCCCTTTTTGTGTGTTTATTATAAGAAAACAATGGACATCTAGTACTTAAAAAATTATATATGGGGCATCGAATGCTCTGTTGCCAGAAAAAAACACTGAGCAATGGCATATCTGGCACTTAAAAAAACTATGACCCCAATAGACTGTAAATCCATGATGCGTGAAAGAAGTATAATACCTGATACAAACAGAAAAATGGATAGATAAAATAAATGAGAAAATTTTGGGGCATTGATTTGAGGACATTTTATCATACATAGACATGATATATAACACCTTCCATCCCCCTGATGGTACGTAAAAATTCAGAACTCAAATGGCTGTCGAAGTGAAAAGGGAATACATAAAAACAAGTCATCAACAATACCTGATTGTTCCCTCGAGACCCAAGGTGAGGTGTTGCTACGGTTATAAAGTTCATTGCTTCCAACCCGCCGATGGTTCCTTTCGTTTCACTCTTGGATGTGTCACTTGGATGTCTATAAAGCTTTGCAATTGCATATCTTGCTGCTAATCCTCCAACAGAGTGTGCAAGAAAGGAAATCTTAGTGAGTTCTGGCTTTCGAATGATTACATCGATCACCTGAATAATGGGAGAATAGAAGTGAGACTCCAATACATATGCTTTGTGATGAGCACAGAGTATTATTCACAACATCATTTCAATGAAAAATCGCTGACAGAGCAGCTAACCTCCAGATAATAGCCTCTCAAAGTTCAAAACATATGCTGACGTGGTACTTACCTCATCTGCTAAACGTTCCCCCATAACATCTACACCTTCTAGAGTCAAGGTATTAATGTTTTTCTCACTGCCTGTAAATTGAAAAAAAAAGTCACTGAAACTAGCAACTGTAGTCAGTAATGGAAAGAATAAAATGTAGCAACTTACAGTGCACGATTACATCATCAGGAAGTTGCTTTACAAATTCGTTAGCCGCATATTGCCAGTCAGCATTACTGCTCAATGAAAAAAAAGACAATAAATTGACCATAAGAGTATTAAAAACAAGGTTATAAGTTAAGCAACACAACTGTATGGTAACTTCTTTTGATGAAAGGAAAAAAAAAACAATTGTCAACTTTACTGAAGAATGAGAGTGCATCACCAAACAGAACACAGAGTTGCATGTATGGCAACCTATACTAGTTTTGCATGCCTAGTCCAAGGGTGAAATAATTATTTCCCTAGTTTTATCCTTCTTGTAGAACCCTCATCCTCACTAGCATCGCTACAAAAAAAATGTATTTGAAACATAGAAGGGAGAAATAATAGGGAATATGTGAGCATAGAAAGAAGTTAATCTAGAATTTCACTCTCAAATCATCTATTGCCATGGAAGAATGCTCAATTATGTTGGAAGTTGGGACTTTTAAAATTAAAAAATTAAATGCAACTGGAATTACACATATAAGGTGATGCCTGTTTTCAGCTAGGTGTGCATAGCACTTCTCCAGAAAGTGCAGACATAAACCATATAGGCCACAGCCAACATCCAAATGACCCAATGCAAACAAATTACCACATTGGTCCCTAAGAGTGGCATGGTGGAGGCCTAATTTAAGGGACAGATGATGGGCGATTGTTTCAAATCAAAGGATGGGGAAAACTTGTGCAGTAACATTTTGTAAAAACATTATATCATTGTTCAAGTATTTAATTGTCCCCGCTGTTGTAATCCGTTTGCAAGCTGCAAGTTTTTGAATCCGCCATGAAGATAAGCCTAAGCTAACAACACAATCCTTAGCTTAATTAGATAAAAAAAAAGTATATAACTGGCATTGGCATATTATCAAGAATAGGCTACAGCCAGAGGTAGCATTGACACTGATCCTTCTCCTTTCACTACATCCCTAGTGCTGTCCATTCGCGTAACAAAAGCAGCAGTGGCATGCTCTTCGATCAGACGGGAGCAATGTCGCTCCGCACGAGATGAAAAAACACTAGCAAGAGGCAATCGCGCCTGGCGAAATTCACACACTAATGCAGGCAAAGAAAAAAAAATAATTCTACATTAAATCCAGAATTTGACACACACTGGGCAGCAATGTAATTATATCATTTCAACGTAATAAAGCACACCCCTATTTTAGGACCCCCAATTGGGGAAACACCAGCATCAAAGCTACTACAATCTCAAGGCAGCCACAACCGCATCCTCTACTCCTCGAAATCACACATTCTAAGACCAGGGTAGCATAAGCAGCAATGGCACGGAGAGGATTCCACTACATCCACATCCGATCTGTGAAACATTTCAGCCGCCGCTCGCCACCCCCACCTCATCAACCAACCGATCAACCAGACAGGATTCAATCCCTGAAGCAGCCATAGAGCGGAAGGGGGAGGATAGTAGGGGGGGGGACCTGCCGAGGATGCCGTGGACCATGACGAGGAGGTGGTCGGGGTCGTGGGAGGAGACGGCGTCGCTCCACACGTCGACGCCCCCCGACGCCGACTCCTCCGCCCGCAGCACCGCCGCCTCGTCGCCGCCGATGCTGCCCATGGGCTGGTTGCGGCGTAAGCTGCTGGTGCGGTGGGGTTCCTGGCTTCCTGCTCCCGGTGGCCGGTGGGATGGCAGCCGTCGCCGGCGGGGAGGGGAGGCGCGGCGGTGGCGGTGGCGGTGGCGGAGTGGAAGCCTCGCGTCGCGTCGGGTGGTTTTGCACTCGGCCCCCTCAACTTTGGCGCAATATGGTTGATGACACGGTTACTACCTCCGTCCAAAAATATAATAATTTCTAGTGACAAGAATTTTATTTAAACTGTAGTTAAAACATTCTACTAAAGTATTTTAAAACGAAGAGAGTATTATTAAAAATGCGGAATACACGGAAGGCATCATATAATACAATAAGTAGATAAAAAAGATGGTATCATGGTAATTATTAGTAAAGTAAATTTTAGTTTGGATCATATTTTGTTTTCAATGTTTTACTTTAGACCACCCTTTAGTTAATGTTTTCGTTTTAGACTAAGTAATCTTACCTTTATTTTATTTTAGACTATCACGACTCTCTTATCAAGCATATGGATGATCTTGAGTAAGTCAACTTTCATTATCAAGCATATGGATGATCTTGAGTACGTCAACTTTCACTCGACAATTTAGCTCTCTCAACTATATGTAAAACCATTTCTTTAAAATAAAATAAGTTAGAAACCATTTAAATTTGTAATAACAATACTCAATTAATTATTCTCTAATAATCATCTCTTTTACGTACCATCTAACAACCTCTCAGCCTAAGAGCCTAAGGGCCGTTCCAAATAAAGTTTGAAGATTATTGGTTAGTTACATGCAAAACAAGAAACACAATTATGATTATTTGAGAATAAATTATTAAAATTTTGAGAAAAAATAATTTCTAAATTAACTTCTATGTAAAATCTTTTTGCACAAAGCATATCATTTAACTGTTTAAAATATATGCTAACGAATATCGAGAAAAGTATCTAAACTGAACTTAAACGAATTTTAACCACTAATATGTATTTATTTTAAGACGTAGAGATAGTATGGTGCCGAATTCAAATAAGCTATGGTAGCTGAATGGACAGACTGGATAAAGTAAAGGATTATTTAGGCGGTATGTAGACAGGTTAGCATCTGGATGCTTCTTCAAAGTGGTTTTTTATAAGAAAAAGAATTCTAAAAGTGGTTGCTCACTTGCTTGGCGTGCTCATTTTTCCTTTCATAATACACACGCCGTCGCGCAGGTCGGCAGGAAGACCTGCGTTTGAGACAGCCACGTCCCACCATCTAGTGAAGTCGCAGTACTCCCTCTAACAAAAACAAATAAATATAGGACACGATATAATATATATTAAAATATATCATATCTAATATTAGCTCAGTTTTTTATGGGATGAAGTGAGTAGGTTATACAAATAGTGAAGTCATAATATAGCTTCCGGTTAATAATAATATTGGTCGGTTTCGATGAGGATACGGTTTTAAAAATCAATTTTAATCTCTATTAATTAAATATATAAGTTTATTAAAGTATAGTTTAAGACTAATCTATATATTCTCCGTATTTTTAACATAAATATTAATATTATTTTAGATATTATTTATAGTCCAAACTATTATTAATATCGAGGAAGTATTTAAGTACTTTCTCCTCCGTTTTCATATTATAAAATGTTTTAATATTTTGGTAAACTTCTTTTAAATTTGATCAAATTTATAAAAAATGTAGTAGCATTTAGAACATCAAGTTAGTTTCATTAAATATAGCATGAAATATATTATGATAGTAATTTGTCTTGCATTGCAAATGTTACTATGTTTTTTTAAACTTGGATTAAAGAACTTTAACTTACAAAAAAATTAAAGCGTAAATGTAGAGAGTAAAATTAATTATCTGTTGAAATGTATCCTATTTTGATATGTGTAGGGATGAAAACGGTCGGAAACGATCGGAAAACAGCCTCAATCATTTCCGTAACCATATTTTTCTCGGAAATGAAATCGGAAATGGTAAATTCGGAAATGAAAACGATATCGGAAATATCGGAAAACCGGAAACGGAACAATACAGACGGAAACATGTCGGTACAGATCGAAAACAGGTAACAAATACGGATACATTAAACTATAAAAACATATATTTAACTTTACATAAGTATGTTATATGTATACATAAATTCAAGCTTATACTATATAAATTATAAATTAACTTCATTTTAGCCATGTACAAAAGTTAGAGATTTGATTGAAGAGTCAGTCAATATGTAAGCTGCGGGTCAAGTATAGACATGCTCTATAAATATCGACATATTTAGAATATGGTAATTACCATATTATAAGAAACGGTAATTTCCACAAGAATACGGTAAATACGGAAACGATCGGTATAACAGTAAAACCATTTCTGTTTTCATTTCCATATTTTTTACCATTTCCATTTTTGTTTCGGTCGATTATCATTTCCATATGGCTCGGCCGGTAGAAAGTCGAAAACGAACGCCGGTCGGCCGGTAATTACCGTTACCGTTTTCACCCCTAGATATGTGCTAGGGCTATACCCGTCCTCTGCAACGAAATTGGGAGGGATACGGATGAACGATTTTACTAGGTTATGCCTAGTTCTATTTCTCAACTTCAAACTTCAATTTCCTTGTTTTCCGTTAGCACGCTTTCAAACTGTTAAATGTTGTGTTTTTTTAAAAAAAAGTTTCCATATAAAAGTTGTTTTAAAAAAGCAAATAAATCTATTTTTTAAAATTGTAATAGTTAATACTTAATTAGTTATGTGCTAATGAGATTTCTCGTTTTACGTGAAAAAAAATCCATCTCCAACACGGGAGATCAAACGGGCCTTAGTTTTGAACTTTCAATATTTCTAGCGGATTGATTTTCTCTTAAAATCATTTTTTTTTGGGATGGGTTTTAGTTGGGGAAGTTTTTTTACTTGGTGGAGACTGGATGGTGGGGGAGAAAGGTGACAACTCCACTTGTATTGTATACTAGAGGATACCCCGTGCGTTGCTGCGGGACATACTTAAAATTGAGTTGATGGGTAATATATGTGCATTCTCATGCTACAAAGAGAGAGAGAGAGAGAGAGAGAAACAGATGGATTGTTTGGATTTTTTTTTTGGTGAATAGAGAAACCCAAAAATTCCAAATTTAATTTAGGTAACAGTAATTAGCTAAATCTTCAGAAGGATGCAGCTCATGGGTTAACATACAATGTAGTGTATTGTTCACTCAAATGCTGTTACCATGTAGCTTACACTGTTGAAGGTTTCAAATTGCAATATAATATATGGAGCGAAGAACATTTTATATTATTCAGTGAACGTTAGCCAATTAAAACACATTTTTTTGTGTCAAGATTTAGGAACACCTCAAAAGTCTTGCAGTCTTTCACTGATCCAAAGTCCAAACCACCAATTCTTTGTGTTTGATGCAGACCTGAAAGCGAGGATTGCATAGAGATAAGCGACCGTTGTAAGAACAAACTAAATGATACCACTCCTAATAAATATGGATTCAGAAATTTCAGAATACTGTTACCATCAGAAAGAAGAAAAGGTGCATTTTGTGCACAGAATATTAACATGTAAAGAAAGAACCGAAGCATGGCTAGGTGGACACGAAGCAGATCATTCTGATATTTGCATCAGTTGCTGGAACGCCTGAACACAGATCGCTTATAGTCTCATGTGAAGGCATATAAATCCATCCAATGAACCGTGGAGGTGGTGATGGTGTCCAGATCCATGAACTGGGATATACATTGATCTTAACGGAGGCCTACAAAGCAAAAAGGAATTGGAGAAAAAAATCAATCGGCTGTTGCAAAATCAATTGCTGCAAACAGTGAAAACAAACTAACGACCTGAAAGAAACTTCGAAGTTATCAAACAAAAGCATCCTTCATAAAAGATAAAACTAAACTGATCGACTAATAGAGAGAGTCAGGATCGAACAAACGCAACGCTCAATGCATTAGGAGATCTAGACTCACGAATGAAGTTAGGCCACTGAGCGACGCTCCATCAGTTCCTCTCGTCGGTTTGTGTGTGCGGATGGCCACCGTCACTATTTAATATTTTATAGATCGGTGTTGCTCGAGTTAATCTGGTAGCCGACGGTTTCAGGAAAGGGAAACGTAGAGGCGGGAGAAGTGAAGAGGCAGGAAGGCTGTGATGGAGAATAGGATGCAGAACGATGGAGACATACTGGGCTGGATTGATGAGAGAATGGGCTGGGGGAGAAGAGAACATGGGCTGCGCTTGGACAGATTGATCTGGGACATCCAAGGTGTTGGCTGGATGGCTCATTGCCTCACGATTTAGATCCAACGCTCAAGAAAAATCAAGGTGACGTGGAAGCATGAGAAGGCTGGAAAATCACATTAACTACACTAAGTGGGGATAAGTGGGGATCAATTGTATAGATTATATAGATACGTTTATGGTGTGATAAACATGTCTTTTCTTAAAAAAGAAATATTGCACGTGGTCGGTCGGTACCCAAGGGCATGCTTAGAGAGCATTTTAGACCGTGGCTTATAAACCAAATGCATATACGATCAATACAATTAAAAATAATGTTAAGGTAAAACTTTTACACTATATTCTTATTAGTAATAATTATTATTAAATTTAAATCAAATTCGTCTATCCTCGCCTCCATACTGCCATGGAATTTGTTTTCATTTTTATTTTTTTAATATTTACAGAAATATTATACCGGTGAAAATATTTACAGAAATAGACCCTACAACTCTCCTGGGGGCAGTAGGGTGACGTGTGTGAGCAGACGCTGGAGGCCGCTAAGCGGGCATGTGAATTTTGCATGTGGTGAAAATTGCATTTCACCTGGCAAAGGACCTCAGCGCAAAATGCGTCCATGGCGCCGTGTGCCATGTCACCTTGCCACCCTTCACTTGAGCAGCAGAGTCTATTTCTTTAAATATTTTTACCGGTATAATATTTCTGTAAATATTATAATAAAAAAGTTAAAAATGAAAAACGCCACGTGGGCCGCATGGCTGAAACGTTTTCTTGGGCCAGCCCAAATGCAATAATGCATGGATGTGGTCCGCATCGGATTTTCTGAATTTTTTAGATGTAAGCACATGCAATCCAGTAATTACAAAAATAAGCACGCAACAACCACATTTAGATGTATAGGCAAGATGCTCACATGAAGCACGGTGCTTCCATTGAACCACTTGACCAACAGACTAATGGGCCGCTGAATTAAGAACGTTAGCGCAAGAACCCACATCACCAATTGGTTAAATGCATCATTACGGGAGCATGCATGGTTTAATTGTGTGGTTTTCATTTTACAACTCATTGTAGCATATGTATTTCTTACATTATATTTTTTAAAAAAAACATGTATTTATACATGTTTTTTTAAAAAAATATAATGTAAGAAATACATATGTTACAATGTGAGCTATGAGACCAAAACTATTGCTATTAGCTGAAGAAAAAGAAGAGGATTAATACTATTGGGCTGCTCGCAAGTTAGTGCTAGAATCAAGACCGCAAACCCCCCATATACTTCGTTAGGTCCTCTTGGTCAACCCGATATTGACAGTGGTCAAGTACTTGTGCGAAGGTTGGTTAGAATTAGAATTCCAAACAATGCGTGCTCACATATGTAATTATTGGGCTGCGTGTGTTTAGATATAAAAAAAATCGATTGGATTTTGGTTGTAGCCTATACATCTACGCTAGAAATCATATTTTCTGAGTAAGGGGCTGTTTGGTATAGCTCCAACTTCTAAATATTACTTCAGGAGTTGAGTTTGGAGTGGAGTTGTGGAGCTGCCTAAACCCAGCTTCACAACTCTAGTACATTTTGTGAGAGAGCTCCACCCAACCTCACTCCCAGTCAGGGGCAGATCTACAGTACTAGGACCGGTGTCAGGCGACACCGACGATTTTCGGCAAACATATAGCAAAACTGTTTATCCATATGTTATAACACCATGATCTAAGCATAATTACCATACTATGACACCGATAAACACGTTATGACACCAACGAATCGATTTTCTGGATCCGCCACTGCTCCCAGTTTTGGTGGAGCTGAAACTGTTTGACTGAGCTTCAGCTCCATCCTGGAGCTGGAGCTAGAGCTGGAGCTGTGCCAAACAGACCCTAAAGAAAAAGAAAATCAAAGTATCTGAAATTCTTCTTTTAAATAGAAATAATAGCGATGGAGTGTGATGTGCGTCGTGGCACATACGTCATACGTGGTCTTTTTGTACGCGTGCTTTGTTTCTAAAAGATATTTTTCTTTCAAAAAATATAATCCGCAGATGCCAAATATTACTTATGGTTTTTTTCATCTAGTTTGTCATATATTTTATGTTCTTATATATTACAACACCACTAAAGTTTACAGTGTTCAATCTATATTATCTTTGCTATCACTTTTTCAACGTGCAGGAGGGATGCACATCATATAATATAAGAAAGAAGAGTATAAGAAGACTCACACAAATCCGTAAACATAATACTCCAAGCGACCTAAATATGCTCTATGCCAAAATGTGAAATTTGTTTAATTTTATACATTTTTATGTTTTAATTTTATTAATAGTCCATTCTAAAAAATATTTTGAAATTTAAACCTTTTGGCCACGTCAGCCCGCCTGGCGTGGCAGTGCTGACCTGTCACGCCACCATGGCTGGCGTGGCCAAAAGATTCCATTCGTGAAAATATTTTTTAGAATGGTCTATTAATAAAATTAAAACATAAAAAGTCTAAAAAAATAAAAAACATTCCCCAAATGCTACTAAGGCCTCTAGCCATGTCATACATCACAATTTTGTATCCTGATGTTCTACATAAGGCTGTGTTCGATACTTTGGGTGGGGGGAGGACCATCTCCTCCGCACGGAAACGGAGCAGTCCATTAGCGCGTCATTGATTAAGTATTAGCTTTTTTTCAAAAATAAATTAATTTGATTTTTAAGCAACTTTCGAATAGAAACTTTTTGCAAAAAATACACTGTTTAACTTAAACGGTTTGAAAAGCATACGCGCGGAAAACGAGAAAGAAGGGTTGGGAAGAGGTTGAAACGAACGCAACCTAAAAGTAAAAACACATACATTTCTATGTTTCCAAAACCACTCTACAAGCTCCTCGAAAATTTTTTGAAAATATGCCGTTTATTTTTTTTCTTTCAGAAATATTCGGGTTGTAATTTTATTTGCACAAATATACCGTTGATTTTACAATCTCGCACAATAAAAACGCGAGACCGCTCGGTGTCGCGCGGCAAATTCACGAGAGCGAGCGGTCTCGCATACTCAATAAAAACGTGAGACCGCTCGGTGTCGCACGGCAAATTCACGAGAGCGAGCGGTCTCGCATACTCAACCAGCGAGAGCCAGCGGTCTCGCAGGGTCAAGTAGCGATACCGACCCTTTGCCGCTAATCAATGATTAATTAGTGATTAATTATCTTAATTTGCGATTAATTAATTATTAATTAATCGTTAATCCATATAATTAATCACTAATTATTATTAATTAATCGTTAATCATTTAATTTTCAAAACGCTCTCACACACTCACCATGCGAGACCGCTCTGTCTCGCGTCTTCCGCGCACCTCTGCCGCGCGACATTACGCGGTCTCGCATCCTCTTCGTGTTAGACCGCCCGTGTCGTCAGCCCACGTCAGTTTTGCGTAATGGTTTAGCGATATCGGTAGTATATTTGTGCAAAAAAGTTTATATCAAGACTATTTCTAAAAAAAAATATGAACGGTATATTTTCAAATTTAAGTCCCAACTCCTCTCCCTCGTTTTTAATAAAAAGTTTTTATACGAAAGTTATTTTAAAAAATTATATTAATTATTTTTTCAAACAAAAATTAGTAAATACTTAATTAATCATAAGAAAATGTGTCACACCGTTTTTCGTGTGGAGCGAATGAGTTTCCAACTCTGAAAACCCTTGCGACTTGGTTATCAATTTCTTACAATGCTTGGCAACCTGGGCGTTTGTCACTGCAGCACGACCAAAGACAAGTACATGTATTTCTTTTCCTTTCTCCTTTGTTGCAGAAATATTGTCTACATAGTTCTTTTGGGTAAAAAGGTTTTCTATATAATATGGAAGTATATACAACATTCGATAATAAGAATTCGACAATAATAAAAGGGGTAGCGCATGAAACCTAAAAGTGGATGGATGCGGAGACAAGGATTTAGACATGTTCAAACCCTCTCAGTGAGAGGTAATACCCTACTCCTGTTTAGGGATTTAAATTCGTTGTGTGTAGTATTGATCTGACGATCAGGTGTGTCATGCCCTCTAGAGGGCCTCCTGCCCACCTTATATAGGATGGGGGGCAGGATTACAAGATATAAACCTTAACCAATACGGTATCGGTTTCCTAAATCTACTTTACAATATTATCAAACCAGGACTTTAGACCGTTCCATAATATACTAGGAAACATAATACCTAAGTCATGATATGTTACATATTTCATAGATATAAGTTATCCCCTATAATCAATCGGATAACCATGCCGTGTGGGTATGGGGTACCCATAATCTCCACAAGTGTAACTACAATGTAATTATGGTGTAGTTATATTATAACTAATGATGCGGACATCACTACCTCGGGTACACACAATAATTCTCCAACGGTCATTCAAGGACTGATAACAAGAGCTCGTGCGCGACAATTTAATTTAGAGGTGAGCTCGTTCCTATGTTCTTCTTTGTATGAATTCGGGAATATATTGCTACCTAATGATTATATTGTAATTAGAAACAATGGAGAGACAAGTAGACACTTGGAGGAGGATGCGACTTCCCTGTCCCTAATTCCTATTCCCATCCCTGTTCGTTGCCAGATGTCAATCGCTTATTGGTTTCGTATTTTCTAGTGGGCCTCCACACCTTTGCGCCTCCGTCACACGCACGGCATTACGTCTCCGTTTAATAGTTAGAAACAACACCATTAATTTTACTAACAGATTTTAGGCGCCAAATAGATAGAATTGCTGGCGGGAAAAAGAATTATGGCGCCATTTGTCTCAGTTCTCCCGTTAAATCCTCCAGCATCCAAACAACTCATATCTAAACATGCATTAGCATCCTGATAAATTAATCTCTCTTATCAAGCACCGGCATCGACGCCAGATCTTGGTGCTATGCCAAACAACAGCATGATTCCTCCATCAGAGGCATCACAACTGCATGATGCAGGAGCAAGTCCCATGTTCTTGGACAATACATCTGCTACAACGACGTCATTCACAAATCTTGTTGAGCCTGATGATTCATCCGCTGGCCTGGGAATGAAGCAAATAGAAACGGTAAGATCAATATGTTCTGCTCTACATTTTGTTAAATTAGTTGAATCTGAGTTGAATTTTCTCATAAACCAATTTGATGTGAAATATTATAATAAATAAAATCAGGATCAGGGAGCAAATGAAGATTCTCAAACCAGAAAAGCTTCAGAAAAAATGACGCCAAAGGTCGGAATGAAATTTAACTCTGAACAAGAAGCTTATGACTTTTACAATGCATATGCTTCTGAGATTGGTTTCAGCATTAGAAGAAGCAGCTACCATTATATGGGAAATACAAAAATTATAAAGAATAGGACATTCTGTTGTTCTCGTGAAGGTATTTTCTTCATGTCATTTTACTGTGACATTAAATTTTTATAGTATATTAGATTTTAAATAAGTTCATTGTATAACAGGAACTAGAGGCGTTGATAAAAGAACAGAAGCTTTAGGCTATGGTAATAGTTTTAACAGACCAGAAACTCGGTGCAAGTGTCAAGCATGTATGAAGATAAGTCTTATAGATGGATTCTATCAGGTCTACCACTTTGTGCCTGAACATAGCCATATTCTTGCCACTAAAAGTCAAGCTCACCAGTTAAGATCACAAAGGAAGGTAAATGAAGCTCAGGTTGCAAGTGTTGAAGTTGCAAAATCTGTAGGCATTTCAACTAAAGCGGTTGTTGACTTGTTGGCAAAACAATCATGTGGATATGAGAATCTTGGCTTCACTCGTGTTGACATGAAGAATAAGTTATACTCAAAAAGGTCGCTGCAGACAAAACAAGGTGACACCGGAGGAGTGTTAGAATATATGGAGAAGAAATCATCAGAATATATCAAGTTTTTCTATTCTATTCAGGTCGATGAGGATGATTTAATAACAAATATTTTTTGGGCTGACTCTAAAATGATTGCTGATTATGAAGACTTTGGGGATGTTGTTTGCTTTGACACAACATACAGGAAATTGAATGATGGACGCCCTTTTGGTTTGCTTGTAGGAGTGAATAATCATAAGAAGACTACAGTTTTTGGTGCTGCACTTTTATATGATGAGAGTGCTGATAGTTTTGTTTGGTTATTTAATACTTTTCTAAATGTTATGTCAGGAAAGAAGCCAAAAACAATTTTGACAGATGAAGACGCAGCCATGGCTAAAGCAATCAAATTAGTTTTTAAAGGAACTCATCATCAGATATGTGTATGGTAGATGAATCAAAATGCCTGCAAGCACCTTGCTGGGTGTGTTAAGGATTATAAGAAATTTAATAGTGACTTTCAGAATTGCATATATGATCAAGAGGAGGAGGAAGAATTTATAAAAGCATGGCATCAATTGCTTGACAAATATGAGCTACAACAGAATAAATGGTTGCAGCGGATTTTTGACAAACGACATCAATGGGCACTAGTATATGACCGAAACACATTCTCTGCTGATATGAGTACCACCCAAAGAAATGAAAGTTTTAACAATGAATTAAAGGGTTATATTAGTGTGAAATATGATATGCTTACTTTTTTTGAGCACTTCGACAGGTTGTTGGGAGATAAAAGATATGAAGAGGTAAAGTGTGATTTTAGAGCAACACAAAGTACACCAAGGCCAAAAGCAGAGTTGAGAATATTACGAGATGTAGTAGAGGTTTATACTCCAGCAGTATATAAGATTTTTGAGGAAGAAGTAATGCAGACTTTAAATTGTGATATATTCTACTGTGGTGATGTTGATGAACAAAAGGTGTATAAAATAAAGTCTCATGGTAAGCATCATGAACATGTTGTTAAATTCTCACCATTGGAATCTAGTGTCAAATGCAGCTGCAAGAAGTTTGAATTTGCTGGTATCCTGTGCTCTCATGCCCTGAAAGTACTTGACATCAATAACATCAAATCAGTTCCTCAAATGTATATACTAAAATGATGGACAATTGATGCAAAAGTACTACATATAAGTGGCAGTGGTAACACACACGAAGATCCTAGAATAAAGTTATCAGATCGATACTTCTCATTGTGCAGAATGTTCGTTAGAATTGCTTCCCGAGCTGCAGAGTCTGAAGAAACATATTCCATATCTACTAATTGTGCTCAAAAATTGGCAGAAGACATAGAGAAATGCTTGAAAATCAGATGCAATCCAGATTTAGAGACCTCGTCATCTCCACAAGGTTCGTTTAACAGTTCTATAAAGTAATTATTAGTCCTATGATTGGATCACAGCTTTTTTTTAAATATGCATGTCGTAATTTGTCTTTGCAGGTGTGAAAGAAAATTAGAAGCCTAGGAAGCCATTAGGCATTAAGCTCAAGAAAAAGGAAATTCGTGGATCAGCAAGACCTATTGGCGGCTTAGATAAAGCTTCATCAAGGAGGAAAAGAAAGAAAATCAATGATGTCCTAGCCCAATCACCGCATCCTCAACCTGTAGAGATGCAAGCACAACCACAAGCAGTACATACTACAGTAATGGTATACTCAGCACATAATTGTTTTTCTTAAAAGAAACTGCTTGCGTTGATTATTGTCGTTGATCTTTTTCCATTACTTTTTCTTGTGCTAGGATCATCTAGAGGTTCCCAGTAACCACAATTTTTTACACGTGTCAGAGTATAGCGCTGCTCTGGATGCATACACACATACTTCAGTTCACACTCCTATGTTAATGACTCAACAAAGTCAAGGGTTGCATCAAGGGAGACCGATTCAGCAATATGACACTTATTTTCACTACATGTTCAATTAATTTATTTAATGTATTTAGTACAGAAACAATTTACACTTGCAAGTTACTAAACTATACATTCTAGGGGGTCTGAGATTGCAAAAATTATCTTCACTTCTTCAGGCTACAAAATATTTTTGAAATGTTGTTATGCTACAAAATATCATTGTCATATTGTACCAAAAGAACAGATTTAAAGCAAAACCACAAAAGAAGATTAGGATCAAAGACAAGTACCTGCGCGCTAGTTCCAAGAGCTCAGGCTAGAACTCGGAAGCAAGGCAATCGATTGGGTGGCCCGCACTTGAGATTGATGTTGTGTCGCCTAATGCACTGCGTGGTGCTCGAGCTCGCCGGTGAGGTCGCCGATCTGCTCGCGCGTCGCTTGTGCTCAGCTGCAAGGGACCAAATCAGCCGCCGCCGGCAACCCCATGAAGCTAGCTTACCTCCGTACCATAGCTGATGGCTTAGAAGCAAGGCGCTGGTGCTTGAGCTCGACGGCGAGGTTGCCGATCTGCTCGTGTCGCTTGTGCTCGGCAGCAGAGGGATTGAATCCGTCGTCGCCGCCGCCGCCGCCACCACCATCAAGAAGCTTTAGGACCATGGCTGATGGGATGAGGGAAGCATCAAAGAATTGTTTTTTTTTATTTCTAGTGTTACTCATACGGGAAAAGGAAACGGAGACGTAACGCCATGCGTGTGACGGAGGCGCAGGGGTGTGGAGGCCCACTAGAAAATACGAAACCAATAAACGATTGACATCTGGCAAGGAACAGGGATGGGAACAGGAATTAGGGACAGGGAAGCCACGTCCCTTAGAGAAGGACTTAGAGCCATGGAGGATCATTGAGGACGTCCAAGTTAAGGTGGAGGCCCAAACCAATTCGACCTCGGGTGCAATTCGGAGTCCAGGACCAGTCTGCACTAAAACGGGCGCCAGGTTACATACGTGCTCGGATTGGGGTGTTCTTTATATGGATGGAAAGCTAAGAAGATAACCTTTCCAATGGTTTTGGTCCCACATCCAAATTCTTTCCGAGTCAATAGGAATCGACCGAATAAGTTGACGTCCAGAATCTGTCCCGGTGCTGTGTCACTGTATTTGGGCCTTTGGGCCGTGTATCGTGTTGGAACCCATTAGGGTTGCGTCGAGAGGGGGTTGCACGACCCTACACTGTATATATCAGTACCGCCGCTATCTTTAGGTTTTTGGGTTTTGCTTAGATTATTCTGTCGAGAACAGTTTCACCGCTAGATCGGTTTGTAAGACCCCAACTCGTGAGCTTAATCATTCATCTACAATTTTGATTGTTTTCTATCTCGTTCTTGTTTGTGTTCTTCGATTGGCAAACAGGGATTAGTCTTCTTGGCGAGGTCATCCGTGTTTCGACACGGGTGATAACCAGAGGAGACGTGGTGCTACGATTGCGGGGCTCAAGAGCGTGTGCGTTCAAGAAGCCAGATCGATTTGTGTCGCGACTCCGCCCAAATCATTGTTTATCAGAACCTTTCGAAAGATCGGGAACCCTAATGCACATCAACTAACATGACGATGTAACTGATATGTCACTTGCCAAAATCTTCAAAACGCCTGGCGGTCCACATGGCTAGCACGGGAGGGTGTATGAGCGGGTGGTCATAGGTTCAATCCCTCCTAGCACATCTGACGGTTCAAAATCCGAAAGTTTCATGGGGAAAATTTCTTGTCAAACCTTTTTACCAATCCCAGTATAATGTTACCTCATACGAAACCCCAAGATAATATTTCCTAGAAAAATTCAATGCTCAAGCTATATGACACATATGTGCCTTTTCTGTCCGCACTTGCTATTCCACAACCAGTCCATGCTCTGCAAGCTGCTCATGATTGAACCAAAATCCCCATGGCTTTCCAGCCACATGCTCCATTCTCTTCGCCAATCCTTTTCTCCAACACTCCTCTTTCAATCTGACACGTTTGTCAATTAGTCCGTATAAATTACTTTTAGTGGTGTGCAACAGAACACCTGGCCAGGGTGTCTGGTGGATCACAATTCATCATATAGCCAAACGACAACACACAAACACAAAACTGTACAAGACAAGAAGATCCCTATCCTTTCAACACCTCCATCCATCCATCCATCCATCTGAACTTTTCCCAAAACAAAAAGGAAGAAGGAAAGGAGGAAGTAAAGGAGAGGTTGGTTTTGTGGGTGATGGTGCCATCATCCACTCATCATGTCCCCAATCATGTATGAGACTATGAGTACATTGGTTCCTCAATTAATTCCTTGCATCATGTATGTTATGGTTTGTCAAAGATATATGTGGATATGGAATCTTTTAAATGTGGACAACTGGCCACACTTTCATCCACGGAGAACCCTATTGTATCAGATTATACGAGGTCATAATTATTCTTAGGGGAATAAGTCATTATCGAATTCATTGAAACTCCTAATTAATTACACAAGAAAAGTTTTTCTACAGCCTTCGGAAAAAAACAGCAAACTATTTTTAAAAGGATAAGCCAAACTATGAAAATTTTCAACATATCAAAATCGTACATGTGGACTTTTGAATGCATGAAAATTATGTGCACATCACCCATCAGAAATACTTTCATAATACATAATTTTAATGGGTATTTTGAGAATATTACAATGAAAATCATTGGGTTTTGGCAACAAGAAATGAAAATAATTGGGTAAATTTCTGATAATCTGAACTTGTATTGAGATAAAAAAAAATTGTTTTCATGACCTAAGAGCAGTAGCAACAAGAGCAAATTCTCTCTTGGATTCTCACCCTAGAATCAACAGAATTCAAGTAGGTTTGCCGTAAGAGACTGGGATTCAAAATCGCACAGATTACAAAACAGATAATCCACCGTTTATCTTGCCCATACCTCTCAAAATATGGACCGTCCAAACTCCAAAGCGTGACCGTGATAGATAATGAAAAGATGCTCCAAATAAACAATTAATCCAGAAAATTCCTTCTTTCTTTTTTTTTTTTAAAAAAGATACTACCGTCTACGATATCCTTTTGCTTTTCTCCTACCTTGACGGCCACGGTAAATACATTTATCCCCACCAAAAAAAACACTCCATATCCCAAAATATGAAAATATCTTGGCCACTAGAAATTACGGATAAAATAATAAACTAAAAAAACAAATCCCGAAATTCCAGCTCACCTCTCGCCGTCACGTGCACTCCTACGCTTTTCGCCCACGCGAATAAATACGGAGCTCCACCACTCAAAAAAAAAGAGAAAAAATTGGATAAAAAAATATCAAAAAAAAAGGGAGAAAAAGAGGGAGAAATCGCCTAACCCTAGCGGTGGTGCGCCATGACGCGTGACGGCGCGCTGCCGGCGAGCGGCGGCGGCGGGGCGGCGGAGGGGCCGAGGCGGTGCTCGCAGTGCGGGCACCACGGGCACAACGCGCGGACGTGCACGGCGAGGGGCCCCGTGAAGCTGTTCGGCGTGCGGATCGGCGACAAGCCGCCGACCGCGGCCGCGGGCGGAGGAGGAGGGATGAGGAAGAGCGCCAGTATGGGGAGCCTCGCGCAGCTGGCGGAGGGGGGCGGCGGCGGCGGCGGGAGGGAGGAGGGGTACGGCTCCGATGGGAACGACGACAAACGGCGGAAGCGAGGTGAGGAATTCTTTCTCTTTTTTTCTTCCCTCCTTTGAATCCTGATTTTCTGTCTTGTTGATTCTTGGCTTGGTGTGGTTCCTGCGTGTCATGGTATTCATTGCAATGTAACAGAGAAGATACCTTGATGAGAAAGATGCTACTAGATTAGATTGTGATTAAATTGCCTGTTGATACGGCAAGTTTTACCTGTGTGCGGATGAACTGTTTTGATGTGGAGGTGTAATTTCGGTGTTTACTGCAAGATGGTTGAATTCAATTGCAGAAATAGCTGATTAGATGTGTGACAACTAAGGGAATTTTATGAGAATTAGCTGGAATAGTGTGACTACGTTTTAGATTGTTGTTGGATTTATGAACTGGGAAGTCTGGCGTGGTTTACTGTTGGGTGTTTAGTGGGTCGTTCCATAATACAGACATGGTCTGGTGTGGTGTTTCTGCAGTTTTTTTTTTTGACACCAGTCTGCAGAAATTTCAGTGATAAACAGCAAGGATTTATTAGCGTGAGATGTAATGATTTTTCAGAGTGCTTCGTCGGTTATAGGATTTTTGATGTAATAAAACAATGGATTATATTATCAATAAGTAAATGTAGTCTTATGAGCACAATTAAGAGATGTCATCATTGTAGCTTGGATGTTTAAGATGGTTGTGTCTCCACGGCGCTGTTTGGCTGCCCTTGCTGCAGCTGCAAGCCGGGCAACAGTGTTTCCTTGCCTGCACTGGCTGCAGCGCAGGCCAGCAACGCCAACCGAACAGGCCCATGTCTTGTTTAATGATCCATTGTTATAGACTTGTATATATACCTTTAGAGTGTAGACTGGTGAATCATTTCTTGTATTACTATATGTTCTGATTAAGTATCTAGGGTGCTAATTGGAGATTCTTAAACATTTCTATTTTCCTTCATCTCTCATTGCTATTGAGGCTTGTCATCTGTCACTCTATTTGCACTTAATTGCTCAAATTGTTGTGTTACATCCCACAATTAAATTTTTTATTATTGTCCTCTGTTTTGTCTAGTTGGACCATCATGTGCATCCATGTTTTATATGTCCATGAATTCAAAGTGCCTTTTCATAATTTTGTGGTATTGTCATCTTTGGTATCTTTCTTTGTTCAACTGTGTGATTGGTATAGCACATATTTCTGTTGTCTTTATGAAATTATGCTTGATTTAGCATTTGTTCGAGTATTTACATTTTGCATCAAACAATTTCATTTTGTTCTGCTGATAGGTGAGGCATGGTCAGAAGAGGAGCACAAAAAGTTTCTACTTGGGCTTAGTAAGTTAGGAAAAGGTGATTGGCGCGGCATATCACGCAATTATGTTGGTTCAAGGACGCCTACTCAAGTTGCTAGCCATGCTCAAAAGTACTTCATTCGCCAAACAAATGTGCACAGGAGAAAAAGAAGATCAAGCCTTTTCGATATGGTTATAGATGATGTGAGTATCTCTCCGTCTACTTCCTAGTGTGTTGCCTGCATGCACCATCTTGCAACTCCACTCACGTCAATATAACATGTTTGCTTACTCTTTCATATTTTTTTTCTTAATATTAAGCTGTGGTGTATCTGTAAATGTCACCAAATCATGACATGGCAATTTTTTTTCGAATAAAACCTTGGCAACATTTTTTGACTGAAGTATTTGCTTGTGTTCGTTTTTGTGCTTTTCAACCAGTCTGATGACCAACCACTGTCCCGTACATCTTCACAAGAAGTAGAAGTAGAAGAGAATCTAGAAGATGGACATCCTGTTACTGCACCAGTGATCCCACCTGCTCCTGTGCCTATGCTATCATCCTCTTTGGTTCCGCCACCAGTACCAGCAATGGCACCAGTTGCTCCAGGTCCTGTGTTAACATCTGCTTCGGCCACACTACCAGTGTCAGCAGTGGCACCCCAAACCGATGAAAAGGAACAAGTTGCCTCAGGTTCAAATACAACAGAGACAGGGGCTGCAATTCCAGAAGTCATGCCCCCATATGGTTATCCAATGATGCTTCCTCCATACTACCCACCGGCATTTGTTCCAATGCCCTACTATGGTTATGTGCCTGTTTTCTATGCACCACCAGGAGCAGTGCAAGCACAACATGAGGTTGTCAAGCCTGTGGCCGTGCACTCAAAACCTCCAGTGCACATCGATGAACTCTACAGCATGTCCGAACTCAGCCTGAAGGGCGAGGCTGGTGTGAAAAACGGCACTCCTAATTCTCTGTTGCCTCCAAGACCAATTGGTAGACCAGACAGGCAATCTGCTTTTCATGGAAAAGGACCTTCTGATGGCTCTTCAAATGGACTGATTCCTGCAAAGTGATTCTGCAGTAAAACATCCATTCATGTGTATCTAATGCTTAGAAGATAGTAAATCATAAACCCCATGCTGCTGAAATGGTGCTGTTGTACATGCAAAATGCTTTTACTGGTCATTTTAGTTTCATGTTTGGAGGAAGCCATGTATGTCCTGCGAGTAAATTGACTTTTAGTTTGACAAAAATGTAGCATTTCTTTGTCGTTGTTTCTCAGGCTTCCTCAAATTGATTTGAAAATCTGAAGGTTTTTCTACATTTTCCTTGTTATCTGCACAAAAGTTTAGCAGTCTTGCTACACCTACACCTTGTGAGGTAGCTTGTCATGTTACTAGCTGGTAGCTGCAGAGGTAGCTTTTCAAGTTCATCATGCTTCAATACTCTGAACACGTTATGAATTTGGTGAACTTTAAAACTTCAAAATTAACAAGAATCCAACAAAGCAAGCATGCACTTTGGAGGAGAGCAAGATCATCCCCCTGGTTCTCTTTATGCATAATGGCATTTTTTTTTCAATTTCTTTTGTTTTCTCCTGTAATTTCTGTAATGGTGAATGGCTGGAGAGATGACATGAGCACATGTCTAGATACCTGCTTCTCCAAAATCTTGGAAACCTATAAATACATCTCCCATGTCCAGATGCTTGCTTCTCCTAAGTACATCTCCAAGGGCAAAGCTCAACTATTATATTCTTCTTTTTCAGAAATCTCCTAGAAAGACTAGGAGAGACATGGATTTCGTGAAAATGTGCTTGGTATGGATTTCGTGAAAGTGTGCTTGGTTCTTTTTAAGGTTCTACCAGGAATGAGAGGTCTTAGGAATTTCAAACGGAGAAGTTGTCCACATAGAAGAAGCAACAGGTTAGTTTCATGTGGAAAAACAAAGGGTCAGGATAGCTTATGCTTGATCCTTGGCAACTGGGTATACTCTATACTATAGCTGTGTTCTTTGTCTATTGGTTGCCAGTTTGCCACGATTTACTTGTCGCATGATCGATTCGATGATCCAATGGTCATCCTAGCATCCATTACATTTCTGCTGCTATGTTGAATTTGGATGATCCAATGCTCATCCAAGCATCTAATGTGAGTCACTGAAGACTGGCTTGAGTCCACAAGTTACAGACCATTGTTTTGAACAAGTCTCAGGGTTAATTTCTGGAGTTTTGTAGAGAGGACACCGTAGGTTGTTCTATGTGATAAAAATATATAAAAAAGAATTAATTGTTTCTGTCAGGTGCTAATTTCCCATCCAAATAGCTTGAGTTTCTTTTTACTGTCAATCAATCCCACCTATTAGTTCTTAAAAAAAATCCCCCCCTATTCTTTCCACCAACCTAGCATCAATAGAATTAGAATACATTAATTTAAATTTTACTGTACTGTAGAAAATGAATATCTCAAGTCCCAACAGAACTGAAAAATTCTCGCATCCTGTACAATCCCAAGTGAATTTTTGGATGAGATCATGAAGCATCGGTGGGACAGTAGGAGCCTTAACACACAAAACAATTGAAGTAGATAGCTGACTAGAATCTGTAACATTCTCAAACACCCAACATCCTTGTATGTGGTGCACATACTGTGTTTCTACACACACGGCCAATATAAAGCTGGTGTTAAATATGCCTCTAAAGTTTTACATGGACATATGGTTGGTGAACCCCAATTATACATGCTTCTGCATGGTGTCAAGCTAGAAAGGCTTATTTTTAGAGGTCCACTATAGAAAGGCTTAAACCTTGGAAAGCAGCAGTAGCGGGGCTAGAAAGTTTTCAAAGCCCAAACAAATATAACTATAACAAGTATTTGCTATGAAAATTTTACAGCGTGTTCGCTGCGATGAGCCCAGGCCACTGCCTGGGGTCGCCGGGCGTTGGCTCTGCCACCGGAAACAGACACTGGAAAGAAGAAGATAGAGATGTGAACATGGTGTGTGAAAGTGCGATTAGCTTATTGGAAGATCCTGCTAGGAATGGGAGGCATTAGGGGTGGAAAATGGAGTGAAGGTTGATCTGTAGTGACGACCTTATACGATCCCGTTAAAGGAGGGAAAAAAAATCCAATCCTGAACATTGTTGACTGCTACTAGCAGGTCAGGTTTCACTTCAGAACTAAATAAACTTCAGGTTTCATCTCCCTCAACTTCAGTGTACTCAACTACTCACTCACAAAGGGAACATAGATATCTACTCAAGAATCAATCATTGTTACCTCAGGAATCAAGTGACTGACTTAGGAAAAAATAACTGACTGAACCACATTAGTTTGGTCACTGGGTGGAAAAAATGCTCGAACATTTCTACTCCTAGCTATCAAGCTATGCTTGCTGGAAGATCCTGTTGAGAATGGGAGGCATCAAGGATTGTATACGGAGATCTCATGAACAACAAAGTTTGCAAGTAGTGGTAACTACAGAATTTTGGTAATCTTGAGCTTCATGATTATGCCTTTTTCTGTGGATTTAGAGATTACTCCTTTGTGAGATGTGAAGTTTAATCACTTGCTTGCCGTCAGTGACAGAAACAGCTTATCCTGTTTCTCAGGATTACGAGGGATACTTGTACATTATTCTTATAATTGATAACCTTTGAAAATGGTGTTAAAAGTACAAAGGATACATGCGCATAAAAGAGAGCATAACCATGCCCTTTGTATGTGTCCGTGCTCTGTTAATTTCAGTACTGGAAGGTTTAATTACTTGGAATGTGAGGCATTAGGAATTTCAAATAGAACAGTATATCCAAAACATTGTTGCAGTTAGCAGCCAGCAGGTTTCACTTTGAATTTGTAAAATTCAGGATACATGTAGCTGTAATTGAGGATGATATATACAAGAAGTTGTGAAAGAAGACAGGAACAGAGGAATTCTCCGTAGAAGTCAAAGTCATGGATTGATAAGCTGGCACAAAAAAATGCTTCATATTCTTCAAACAATGCAATGTGCGTACAGGGTTTGATACTTCAGCCCGATATTAATCTCCGATTTACCCTTAGAAGTGTCTTTAGTGTAAAATTTTGAAATTTGTTAGAATACAACAAAATAAAAGTTGAAATTTGAAAATACATCTGAACAATCTGTTCAAAGTTCTTAGTTTCAGTCATCCAAGAGTCCGAGATACCATTACAATTATTATTTTTTAAATCTTTCTACATACAAGTTACAGTTGCACACCACTTGTTTTGCTCTTCACGAGTTTGTGGATTTTCTGTCTCTTGTATCAAATTTCGCTCATCCTTCAGTTAGGATCCCCCGTAACACCATTTCCATGATGATTTTTACTAGTAAAACTAAAGAAGCTCATGACATCTGCTGATCACACATCATCTTCCTCCACTTCAGTATACTCACCAAAGGCAACATACAAACCCACTCATTCAAAAACAAAATCATGTACTTAAAAAAATATATAAAAATACTACGTAACAGAATGAACCCATTAGTTTTTTCTAGGCTTCAGGGTGGCAAACAGCTTAAACATTGCTAGTTGCCAAGTGTGCCATGCATTACCAACTACAATCAAGTTTGTGAGGTTTGGATGGTATCATCGGTCTAGCACCATGGCCGGTGGAGGTATGGCTCTGAAGACCATCCGAACTTGGGATGACAGCCTCCAGGAACTGACCATGATTGGCATCCATTACCATATCTTAAGCTCTTGGACCTTTTGCTTGTGTTCTCTGTTTCTGCTGTTACAACATACATGAGTGAACGTGCTATGCAAGTGAGACTATGATAAGGTTACATGTCCCCTCAAGCATGTTTCTCTTTGGTTCAGTTTGGATTCCTAGTGCTTCACATTCCGAGAATTATTACTACTACTCTTGATCTGCTTATCTAGGGGTGTGTTTAGTTCCAAAGTTTTTTTTCCAGACTTCCAACTTTTCAGTCACATCGTCTCCAATTTCAACCAAATTCCAAACTTTGGTTGGAAATAAACACAGGCTAGGTATAGCTTATAGCTGGCTTGTAACTATAGTCTATAGAGTAAACTCGCTATCACTGCTCTCCTCTTTTTACCACTGCTCTCATCTTATTTTTCGGTCTTTGATTCTGACCAAACATTTTTTTATGAGCTTCGATGTATCCTGGCTTCGCAACTTAATTATAGGAAAAAACAATGGACCGATGAAGCCTGTAGCTATCAATGTTGGGATGACCGTTTAGCCAAGATTGATGAATTTGCGTTAAGGGTCTCACTACTGGTCACTACAAGGGTTTGCAAAACCTTGCCGTTATCGCGCAGTTGCCGCACTTATCATGTACGGTAAACTTTTCAGTTTTTGGAACTACAGTAATCCTCGCGGTAACCATACGGTTTTCATGGTAACCGCCTTACCGTGGGGTGGCTGTAACCCCACCCAAAACGTTTGGTGAGCCATGGTCACAACCATACCACAAGTATAGAAAATGTAGAGCATTATCCAGAACAAAGCTTAGGGTTAAGGTTTCTGTGGTTTGTAAAGAGGACACTATAGGCCATTCTTTGTGGCAAAATAATACTTAAAAAAGAGTATCTGTGAGGTGCTAATTTGCCATCCAAATAGCTCGAGTTATTTTTGACTCTCAATTGATCCTTCTCGGTTCTTTCCAACACCATAACATCACTAGAATTAGAATATATTAATTTCATTTTTTTACTGGAATTTATTTACAAAATGACTATCTTAAGTCTCACCAAAACTGAAAAATTCTCGCATCCTATAAGGGCCCAAGTGAATTATGGGACGAGATCATGAAGTATCGGTGGGATAGTAGGAATTTTAACACACTGAACAATTGAAGTAGCGTTGACGTCTTGATGAGAATTTGCAACATTCTGAAACACCCAATATCCTTATATGTGGTGCACATGCTGTGTTTCTGCACACAATGGCAATAGAATTAAAGCCGGGGTTAAATATGCCTCAAAGTTTGACATGGACAGATGGTTGGTAAACCACAATTAATTATGCATGCTTCCCTATGGCCTCCACTATAAGTACCCCATTCTCCACACGGTGGTGCAACCAAGAACAAAACTCATCTTATTTTTAGAGGTCCAGTAGAAAGGCTAAAATATTGATTGGAAGGAAGAAGGTAGTGATGTGAACAAGCATTGGAAGGAAGAAGGTAGTTTGTGAAAATAGCTTGTTAGAGACTGATGGGAATGGGAGGCATCGGGGGTGGTAAATTGAGTTAGTATTGATATAAGAGTTAATTTTACAGTTCTTGAGGAGATACAGGGAGATAGTACATTTTCTAGTATAAAATTTGGT